ATAACTATCAAAACGCCTGCCATTTGAAATAAATAAATAGTACAAAATTTACTCGAATAAAGATGGACAGAAATCGAATTCATTAGGAAAATAAACACACAAAACCTTAAGGGTAATACTTTAGTGGCTAAGATTTAATCTTAAAAATTTGTTTCAACAGGTATTTTAATGACGCGTTGATTCGTTAGTTTAATTTCCAAACTCCAACTTGAATGCTATTTCCAGAAATGATTTTTTCAAAGGAGTTCATATTGCTAACTTTCGGGTTATCTTCCGTCCAGGAAGAAAGCCCCCATGGAAAACAACGGCGTAATAACCTGACCTCAAATATTCATTCCACACAGAGAAATCTGTTTTTAAATAACATTTAATTTCAGTCATGCTTCGAAGATAAAGACTACGCCTATAACTCCTTCATATGCGTTAAATTTGATTTACGATTCTGTTGTTACTCACGATGAAAGAAAAACAATTATAGCTAATGAAAGCAATCCAGTACATGGTGGACTTTTCTGGCAAAGTGCAAAGGTATGTACAGGAACCTCCTAACCTATATGCGATCAAGTTTGTGCAACATAGTTTAATGGCTAATCATGTTGACAATCAGCACGAAAACAGTCACAGTTACGCTCACTTGCTTGTTATTTATCTGCTTAAGGAGTTCATTGTCTTTCCAGCCTCCCAACTGACCCATCTTTCGCGCGCTTACTCGTCCCCCCCCCCTACCTGAATTCATCCTTCTCTCACCTTTCCATTCCAACCAAAATTGCCGATCATTGAATGGTTAAGATCAGCTACCTGAAACACCGTGTGTGCATATACGTGTCAAGATGGTCAATTTTCACGAAGCCTTAACGTTCAAGACCGCAAAATCTACACACGCGGTCGTGGAATTATCACCCCCGAGAGATCTCAAAGGTGGCCTATCGGCCAAATATCTAGACAGTTAGTCTATTGAAGCCACTTCCAATGGTCCAGCAGCTAATTGTATTCCTCCAATAATGTGGTGTTTATTACTACAGTATTGTGAAATCGATTATACTCATGGCTTACCATTTTTTCAGTCCTGCGGGTGGAAGAGTCGTACTTTCAAATAAGTTAGAAATCCAGTTTAGTTATCATAAATAAATGCACTTTTTGAGTTTTATTGACTAAGCATAGCGATAAAGAGTGAAAACTGAGTCTGAAGATTCATCTAAGAGAGGATGGATGTGAGTTAAAAAAAAATGTTCAAAAGTTTTTGAGTTAATTCGGGAAGCCAAGTCTCACCCCATCTGGACTCTGGTTCATTATCCTGTTTTCCATTTTCACATTTTTACTTCATAAATGTTCTAAATAATTTCTTATCATTGTCACATTTAAATTTCAGGGAAACCCTGCTCTTATAAGTGTCATCTGCTGAACAGGGAGTTTTATCAGTTGGATGGGAGGTCTGTGTGTTTCGAAGACGGTCTCTTCACTAGAGTACTCTCTCATTTCACACGCGTCTGCAAAGAGTCGATGAAAATCAATAATACTACTTCCCTTTTTTTGTCACGGCTACAATAATTGATTGCTGTTCAAGTGAGTGTGGGAGATGTATGCTCTTAGGATTTTACATTCAAATCCACCTTCTTCCCCTCCCCCCCCCCTTCCACCTCCCCTTCTCATTCTCAACACACACCTGATTCCTTGTGTGTGTGTGTGTGTGCGTGTGTGTGTGTGTGTGTGTGTGTGTGTGAACTTTGGAATTCTAAATGCTTACCCTTCCGTCACTACAAGTACTAGTAAGGGGATCACATTGAGCCCCAGTATCAACACATTTAGCACCCCTCGTATTTGGAGATACGTCGCCCTCATTTGCCTGCGCAAACGCAGCAACAAAGTTCTCATTTCCATTGGTCTCCTTCTGCCAGCGTTCGAAGAGGTAGGCGGCTAAACCCTTGTTGTCACTGGAGACAAGGCGATTGGTCTTGTTCATACTGGTGCCGTGAACAGGAAACCAATTTACCATTCCCACTTCTCGTCCGTCATTTGTCACTAGTTTTATCAGATGCATTGTCTCATCTACATCCGATGAATATCTGCCCACAAAAACAACAAAACAACAACAATTACCTTTCTTAATTAATCTCATTATAAAATGCAACTAAAAACTAATGAGTAAATTTCAACTGCAGTGATTAAGCCATGCTAACTTACAATTCTCTATTATTTAGCTATCGTAGCTGAAATTTGAAAAGGTGCTGGAACGTTTAATGATATCATTGAACTAAATGAAGAATTAAATTAAAATGTTAATAGTAGTAATAATAATGCACAAGACCAGCTACGAAATTTTTTTCAAACACTTATCGCAACATGGATCGGTAGTAGATTTAAATTCGGCCAATCTATCTTCTTAATCGAAAAATTAAAAAAAAACATGGCGTACCATTTTGCCACATAGTAGCATGACTCACAGTATAATCCCACATCGAAATTATCTTCTTATCAACAGTATAGTAAATAATGAGGAAAAACTTCAGGCACGTAAAAAGTGGGTTCATGTAAAATGACAGCAATTACCAAAGACCTGGGAATAACCATTTTTTTAACCAATGCATGTGCGTTGGATATTGGAAGATATTGGGATAGCTTTCAATTCAAGAAATGTGAATTCTTCGATATTCACGCCCCCAATCAGCTTCAAGCAACGCGATTGGTTGCATTCATTAAAATTGAAGTAGCCTAATGAATACCTCTAGGCTCGGAAAAAAGCTAAAATTGAAATATACCACTAGTAAGTAGGTGAACAAACGAATTCAGTCAGCATTTAAATATAAAAAAACGTTAATGGCCTGACGGGGGCACGTCTTCTTTTATCATTCCCACTGTTTCATCGTTTTTCAGGTTTCTTCTTGCGCTATTATTTGGAAGTAAGCTACTTTCTGTTTCATAAGTTGAAAAAAATTTCTACCACGTGGAAAACACGGTTCTTTAACTCTAGATGTGAGTGCCTCAATCACCCAGCCTTTGGAATTCGATCTACTCCACTCTACAGTATCTTCCACGACCTCGACGAACTTGAACTGAATTGGAATGAGAAATTGCAAATTAATCAAAGATTTTGTTTTTTTCTTGAAAATTTACCTTTGACCACAACTGTCACCCACTTGACACGAAAGCTTAGCCCTCTTATTGAACGCTCGAGAAATGGAGCAAAATTGCTAGAAGGCACTCACGGTAACTGGAACTACATTGAAATCTTGGTTCCCAGACTGGAATAGTCCCCAAACCTTCCGAAAATATTGCACCAATACCCAAATCTTACCCTTGATACCAATCTTGCCAAACAGATGTACGTGTTAAATTATCCAGCAAATGTAACCAAGTTTGTAGACAAAACAGGCATAAATCATTATTTTAGTGGTGTGTGGGAGAAATTTGAGTACATATTGAATCTTTCGTATTCAAGTATACAAAGAAAAGAATTTGTGGATGCACAATGGCGAACCCAGTTAAAGACCGGTTGCTAAGAATTTCCATCCTCCCTATTTACCGACAGACTGTTCCCAACGTGCTTCTTATTCAGATTGTGGAAGACGCCTTTGGGCTTAATGGTCTAACCCCTTAAAACCCCCTTTCCATGTACGTTTATACGCTTTGTGGCCTTTTACAAGCATTTCTAAAGTGCAGTAAAACAAATAATCAAAGAACATTTCCCCATTCCAACCTATCATTATCTGACACTTTTATTCTAAAAGCGAAACAAAGTCGCAAAAAAAATTGCAATCCACTACGGGATTGTCCAATCGATCGACTGACCGAAGGTCACCACCCCTTGAAGTAACCAATCAAAATAAGAGAGCAATCGTCTAGGTCGTGGGGAAAGACAACAAAAGGTAGCTTACAATTTACGTTCACTGGCTGGGTTTTGTAGGTAGGAAAAAGGACTTCGATTGATATTAGCACCTTTAAGAGGGCCGGAAGCGTAGAGAATCTTTCCGGGAGTACGAGATTCATAGGCCTGCTTTACACTCTAAAATGCAGAAAGAGGCTTAGTCATAAGCCATAAAACTTTCACCTTTGTCGCATCTTTATAACGAACATGACCCCATGGCCGAGGTAACTGTAGCGTAAGCAATTTGCTTATGACCTTGAAAATCAGTTCTCAGGCATGTGCTTAGCATTGTCGCACATCCACGAAAAAGTGTCATTTTGACAGTGAAGTGAACTTTAAAACGGTGGTTTACAAAAATACGCAGAAAATTGGATGAAGTTAAATTGAATTAAGGTGAAAATCCCACTTCAATCATTTGTTAATCATAAAAATAAAATCAGATTTTTCGGGAAATAAGCATTCTAAAAATTCCACTTATCTCTGGGCTGTATGAAGGAATTTAAAGGATTTGTAGTAAAATAACACAATGGAATGACACTTTTTTCTTACTAACATCCGTAAAAATTGATTTCATTATCCTTACAGTCTATTTCAGGTAAGGAGAAAGCTTGAACTTCTGTACACTTAACTGAGTATGGCATGATTATTCTTGATGGTCTTTGTGTCGCTTTGTCCATGTTACTCCTTCTATAATACAGATCTGCCTTCGCATCCTAAAATACCGCTTCCGTAAGCTTGCCACTTTCTTGAACACACGAAAGTTTGGAAGTCCTCTTAATCCTCTTGTAAATGAGGTAAAGGAATGAGAGAAACGCTTCTTCATGCTCAATTGTGCTATGATAAGCTCGAATGATAGACGACCAACTGTAAAATTTGGTCATTTATCTAAATGGGATGTTACTTGGTGTTCAATGTGGACTATGATCCATTCTTGTGGTCTGAGTGGATGATATTTTGAGTGCTGCGAAGTGCAAGAAACACTACCAAAGCTGATCAAGAGAACCTCATGCGTTCTAGAACATTCTGAAATGCTTCGTGTGTGTGTGTGTGTGTGTGTGTGTGTGTGTGTAGACCTTCTTTTAAATAAGCCTTCGATTGTCGCCCCAACGGAGAGCATAGTAGCATTAATTGTATTTTGGTGACAATTTGCCACAGTGGTAATAAACACTGTTCAAGCTATACATGTTTTTTTCTCAATACTGTTGGCGCAAATTGGCTACTTCTCTACCAGAGAGGAAAATACGAAAATTCTAAAGCGATTTTAGCTAATGATTAATGGAAATCAGTTCAGTTAAATGTTGATTTTTAAACAAAAACAAAATTAAGGCAGTTTTCCCTAACTTTACATTTCATTGAATGAAAAATAAAGCAAATTGCCCAGTGAAATGAATATTCACCTTCAAGTTTCTAGCAGAAAATTATTTTAATTTCACTTTTTTGAAGAATTATTAAAGAATTCCACTTTTCGAGACAAGGATAGAAATTTAAATTCCATCGTCTTTTATGAAATTCTGACCTGTTTTCCATCTACCTAATACCCTTCAAAAGTTACTGAAAGGGTCAGGCAATTTAAAAGCCTTGAACTAGATTAAAGACACGTGCCATGAAACCTAAATTCTTCAACAAAAAGTGCGATCAATACCTTATCATGTTGAATTTATTACCTATTTTCCATGTACTGTGTCTAGACACAGTGTAGGTTTTTCCTTGATAGAAAAATTGCTCAAAATTATTCATGGGCACTACTATGACCACCCGCAAAGTAGGCAGAGAACACGCCAGGCTGCTTTCCTTTTGTCAGGATTAGTGAGATTTAATGCTCAAATGCTTCCAGTCAGATCGATAGCAATTATGATTTAAAGAATTTACAAAGCTCAATATTAATCTAAATGGATCGCCGAAATCAAAATAGTCTTCACTGTCTGATTGTGGCGTGTTGAAACCCTTCATGGTCATCTGTGTACCAGACTAGACAAAACTTCAAATTCGTCCACCAAGTTCATCTCCGAAATTTGTACAATCAATGCAACCACATTGGAGAATTTAAGCGATTGACACTGATGGACGATAAATAAAATGTGTCCGAAGAAAACAGTCAGATTAAACACGTTTTTTACCACAAAGGAAGGGTTTTAAAAGCGAATCCTTTCATGTGCTCTTAAATTAAAGTGTCTCAGCGCCATGTTGATCGCAGTCTTGCTGGACCTATTCAAGAAACCTTTCATCCAATAAAAGGAGGAGGGGCCATATTCAACTGGAACCATCATCATCAACAACATTCGAAAGATATTTATTAATCATCGCGGGGTTATTATATCCAGAACTAGCATCCAGTTTTCTTCTACTCTATTTGGTGACTTTTTCATAAATATCTCCCATTCAAACTTCCCCGCCAAATCTCATTGGTTCGTAGGAACAACTTCCTGGCAAGGGGAAATGTTAACTTCTTGGGTCACAACGGGAGAAAATTGTGGAAGATATTCTTAATTCTTAACACTTTGAGTACTTGAAGTCGTCTCATGCTGCTGTCCAAATCCAAGTGTAGCATCGCAAGAACCTCTGTTCTCGAAACAGAAAAGAAGGTCTGGTGGAAATCTACTTAGACCCAGGGGTGCCATTCCGAAATTCGAAAGAACTTTACTCTAGGCGCCTCAGAAGACCTCGATAATATTCAGTGCTCAAAAAAATCAATTTTAACCAGAGAGAGAGAGAGAGTTGGTAGTAATACTGTTAACAATGCATAAACTCTGCATATTTGTTTGTAGAGACTAAATTTCGGGATGTTACCTTGAATAGGTTTGAAGTACAACCCTCTTTACGTGTATTCTGGGACCCCAGTGAGCCAGTGATGCAAACGCTTTTGTAACTAGGTTTTAAGATGCTCTTGTCAACCTAAATGTTTGATAATAAATATCTCTTCACAGTTTTCATACACCTTTCTCAGCCTTTGTTACACAGTTCCGTTGCTTTCTTATGACTTAACGTTGTTTGTTTAATAATAATAATAATGATGATGATGCAGGTCACTAAACTAGTGCTCATTAGTGTACATACGATGACACAAATGACCAAACGCATTGGCTAATTCTAATCAAAAGAGGGCCAAAATAATGCACGTTTCTCATATCTTACTCAACCCAAGTCAACTGTTCTCAAAGCCAATTTTAGACGATATAAAAAATACGTTTTAACTCTCCAGTTAATGACTTCGGTGATATTTACTTGCCCGAAATTGTTGTAAAGAAAGCCCCAATGCTATTGAGAAGAAATGCTTTGCTGTGTACCTGAGGTGTGATATCTCTTTCGCGTTATCGCCATGCCACTTCCAAGCCCTAACCATGGCAGATCGCGAAATGACAGCATCGATCGCATAAAACTCAACGATTGGTTCTATATCTTCTCCAAACAATTATAACCAACTTAATCAAGTCAGGAAATGCATCCTGACAGTATTTATTTAAATGCTCTCTAGGGTCCAAACGAACAATAGGAATACTCATAGCACTAGGGTTCATTGAACGGGAAACATTTGCAAAGAATCGTAAAATGTGTTGTGTGCACATTAGAAAAAACACAATAACAAATAAATAACTTAATTAATTACTTTTATGCGGATCAAATTGCAAATACCAATAATAAGATGGAGCACAGGTATTCGCCTCCATGCTTGTGAGTCCATGAATTCGAACACGCTATCTCCTATTTTCCAGACCTTTACGCTATCACTGAACAAAGCAGGGCGTAAACTATCAGACAATTCGTGCTAAATATTGTGTATTTCATGTTAAGTACGCATTTAAAAGTGCCCGGAATTTATTAAAAACAGCAACATGATTGGTCTCAAGGCCACTGACCTGGATCTCACTTATGGAGAGGAAGGGAGGGAGGAAGTGAAAGCAAACTTATTCGAAAATGAAGCAGTTGATTTTCTTTGAATAAAGCAAATCGAAAAGATTAAGCGTCGTCGCCATTAGCGGGCCACATTTAAACACGTTAACCGGATAAACAGAAAAGAGTATCGAAATATTCTCCACCATTTTGGCATCCTGTTTGTAATTAGAATTCGAAATTTACACAGACGAGTTGGTTTTAAAAGTGATCTTAACGAAATTATTTTAAAGAAGGCTTATAACGAATCACGGGAAATAAAATTGTCACCAAGGGCATAGTCTAGAACTACGAGTGGGAATCCTTCTAAAATGAAATTTTATTTTGGCATCAATCAATAGAGGAATATTTTGGCGGAAGTGATGTCGAAAAATCATTATTAAGTCACTTCGAGTGAGAAACTACTAATTAAAACCGACTACGAACGACTTCACTCCTTAACTTGTAGGGTTGATCGGCAATTCAAACAAGTTCCAATTTTAAAAAGAATGGAAACAAGATAAAGTCTCATTTCCAGTAGAAGAACTTGACAGCTTTGGCATAGATACAAGTAAACAATTTCAATCATTGTGGGGTATGCGATAGACTTACCTCCACGTGGTTCACCCTGGGCAACGTATACTCATACGGCAAAAAAGTCTGACTTCAAACTTCCATGACCCCACGGCATGTCATATTCTACCCCCTCCATGGTACTCACCTCACCTTTTTTCTACCTTTGTGTCTGTCTCTTTTACATCTTTGAATCTCTCTTCTATTCCCCCCCCCCTCTCGAATTTTTTTCACTTTGATATTTCCTCTCCTCTGTGAGGCCTGAAGTCAACTAAAGTGCTAATGATAACTATCAAAACGTCTGCCATTTGATATTAATAAATAAATTTTAATCATTGTTTTAATATTTTCTACCTTTAAAAGGATTTTTTAACTTTTTTCAAGTCCAAGCATTGAGATAAGCAAATAAAGGGAGCTTATATTTCAGAGGGATTTAGTTTTTAAAGGAAAGATTTTTTTATATAAAAACAAGAGCAGTGATCATCTAGCCAAAACGGGAGAGAGTGTGTGTTTGGAAAAAGGGAGGCAATTTTGTTGAGTGTGTGTATTATGTATTCGAATTGTGGGACGCTTCATCAATGACCAAATAGAAATCCTGCTATAGAATACTTCTCAGAAATATTTAGCTATTAAAGTTCAAACGAATTATGCTAGAGTTATCTGATAACTAATCGCTTTGCCAACAAACACACTTCGCTATCAATATACGTACTGAATAAGCGTATTCTCTGCTACACGTCTGTTTCCCTCATAGCTGGGCTATAGCTTAGCTTGTTCTGGGAGTCTAGCTGTAGCTGGGGTATAGCTTAGCTGGTTCTGGGAGTCTAGCTAGATGTGGGCTATAGCTTAGTTGGTTCTGGGAGTCTAGCTAGATGAGTTTCCCTTATAGCTAGGCTATAGCTTAGCTTGTTCTGGGAGTCTAGCTAGATGTTGGAAATCTTGCCATCGAGATTTCTGAGTCAGTCAGGCTTTACTAAGGTGTTTAGCTGGTTCTGGGAGTCTAGCTAGATGTAGGAGGATCTCCCATTGAGATTTCTGAGTCAGTCAGGCTTTACTAGCGTAGCTCATAGTATTTCTGAGTCAGTCAGGCTTTACTAGCGTAGCAATCCGTGGAGCTATAGCTTAGCTGTTCTGGGAGTCTAGCTAGGTGTTGGAGAATCTGCCATAGAGATTTCGGTCAGGCTTTACTAGCGTAGCAATCCGCTACAATGCAATCCGGTCAGGCTTTACTAAGGTAGCAATCCGTTACAATTCTCAACCGGTCTGGCTTTACTAAGGTAGCAATCCGCTACAAGTCTTTAACCAAGGCTTTACGAAGGTAGCAATCCGCTACATGTTCGAGACTTGCGTAGCAATCCGCTACAGAATTTTTTCTCGCCAAGGAGGTTCCATAATGTTGCCATTCTACCCAAATGAAATGAATATAGGCTTTCACTTGTTCTATTCATAATAAACTTAGTAAGAGGTGAAAACTGGATGTCTACTCCTTTATCAAGCCTCATTAAAGATTTTTCCGATTGATTAACCGTCATCACCCCCCATTTGCGCAAATTCAAAATTCCGAAGAATTCTTTATAAGTCGATTCTGATATGGAAGACATTTACGTGTCTGACATGGTATCTCATAGGGTAGAAAACTTAGACTACCCTATAAATTTTTAATAACATAGAAGCATAATGAATATTTTCATAATAAATAGTAAAAAATTCTTTCCGTTAATAAACATTGAGAAATGTAAATATATTAAAACCACTTGATAACTTGTAATTTACAAAGTAAACAGATTGATTGCTTTTAAAATTATTGACGTATTCACCGATGTTTCCATTATTTAGGACTTTCAATTTAGATAAAGGTGGGGGGGGGGGGGCAAGTTTAAAACTGTTGTTCGTAATTTATTTAGTTTAAAAATTAATAATAAAAATTACCTCAAATATCCCCTCCGTCATGGTAGTAAATGTGTCGTTTGAGAAGCCAAAAGTAGTAATATCATACAGTAAATACTGAAAATATCCACCGGGCCCAGAATGAGTGTGAGTTGCGGAAATCATTACATTTTTGTGGTCAAAAGTTTCCTTTCCATACTCCTCTTGAAGCAGTAGAACCAGCTGAGTTTTCATTAGCTGAGAAACCATTCCCGCGTCGAGATTGATAAAAAGAACTGGTTTAGAGGAAGCGTCAGCTTGGAAAATGAAAGCACGACTATAGAGACGCAGGTGTAAACCATTACCAGTTTGAGAGAATTCGCCATAGCCCATCTAAAATTATGAGAGAAATGTTAATTACAATTACATTAAGTAAATACTTGTTATGATATTTCCGATATAACTTTTAATGGTTGATAAACTTAATTAAAATTATGTTAAATGTGAACTACGTACGAAGTCAACATCAACTACTGGACCCGTAATGTCAAATTTTCCAGCACCGATAAGCAATCCATTAGTAATATTTTGTGAATGTGCAAAAAGTATTGCAAGTATGTAGAATAAAAAATGCGCATTTTCAGACAGCATATGAAATTCTATTGATTGAATGCGTACGCAAAAAGAACTCATTGCTAATAATGCTAGTGATGCACTTAAACTAAATAAGGTACACTTATGATAAAATTAAGTCTTGTTAAATTCAACCATTTAATGTAAACAAAAATGTGGAGAGTAAAAATTTTTAAATGAAATTCCGAAATCTTTGTTTGAAGGATTTCAAGATTTATACGAACTAAATATGCGATGTGTGTTTCGAAAACCAACCCGTAGCTTTTAGATTTATTTTACTTTAACTGGGCTTTAAATTCAGTCCCAAATAGTTAAAAAATCATGTACATTTTAGTATATATTTATTTATATGGGTGCTATTTGGATTATCGTGATAAAAATTCCAATGTGTTTCCGACGAAAATCACAGGTAACCTCTATTTGACAAAGGAAGTGGAAAAATGCAAAGAGTACATAAGGAAAACTACCTTGACTTTTTACGTAAGCATTAGGAACTCTTTTTATAATTATCCTTGGAATATTACATCTTTTTACAGCTGGAATATTTCAAACAACGATAAAGCGTGAAAATTTAAATTGTAAATTTTACTTCTACGGCATATATTAAATGCAATACAAATAATCCACTGATTCCTATATTAATCATAAAAGAATATCCGGAGCTGTATCAACAACCCAGCGACTATTGATTGTTGTTAAAGTGAGAAGAATATGCACAACAGATCAATAGTACGGTTGCACTTTCAAAACTTTTCATGTGTTAGCGTTGTAAACGTCGCAATAGTGCATATTAGATTTATTAATTAATAACAAAGTCATTGAACTTATAATAATAATAAATTTGCTTCACGCGTTCATGCTCTTTTAATAATCTGTATATTTATTTAGTGGGGGTGCGATAGACCTGCCTTCACGTTGCTCACCCTGCACAACGTATAATCCTACGGCAAAATTGGGAGTTGACTTCTGACTTCAAACTACCATGACACGGCAATGTCGAAATCGACCATTTTCACGGTGTACATCTTACCTTTTCTCTGCCTTGGTCTTTGTCGGTCTCTTTTACATCTGTGAATCACTTTTCTGTTCCCCCTCTCGACTTTTTCTCACTTTGACGTTCCTCCCTCTGCATGGCCCGAAGTCAGATAAAGGGCTAATGATAAATATCAAAACATCTGCAGTTTGAAATAAATAGAGATTTATATTGAATCAGTTTGGGGTGTCCGGTAGACTTACCTCCACGTGGTGCACCACGGGTAACCTATACTCATGCGGCATAAAAATGTCTATTAACCGGCAGTTGACTTCAGACTCCAAACTACCATCACCCCAATGTATGTCAAATTCGACTAATTCAACCGTACTCACCTCACCTTTTTTTCCAACTTTGTGTCTGTCTCTTACATCTTTGAAGCACTCTTCTATTCCCCCCCCCCATCTCGACCTTTTTCATTTTGATTTTCCTTCCCATCTGTGAAGCCTGAAGTCAACTAAAGGGCTAATGATAACTATCAAAACGTCTGCCATTTGATATAAATAAATATTGTATCAGTTTTTGCTCTATGCTGTAGCGGATTGCTAAACAGAGAGCGTTTAATGGAATTATAATCTCAGTTAAGATACTTAATACTTGAATCCATCGAACATAACTTTATGAACATTAATAATAATAATAATTGAGAAGCCCTCTTTGTGCACAGAGGCACCCCCTTGAGTGTTCGATTGTGAAATATAATCGTGTGTAGAATACGTAAGCCCCAAT